TCCCGTGAGAGCCCCCGAGGCTGGCGTGCCCCGCCGTCCGGCCCAGGGCAAAGCCGGGCGGTAGCAGAGGGACGGAGAGGCACTCGGAAAGAGTAGAGAGTTTTGGTTGGTTTGGGGTTTTTTTTGCAGTTCCCCTGTTAGAGAATAAAGCCCCGATTTTGGAAAGATCCCCCCGCCACCCCCGGTCTCCAATAGCTTTCTGCCGGCTGTTTCGGTGGAGGGCGACTGACATTGAGGCTGACTGTCAACCCCCCCTTGCAAGTTATCTTTTCAGTTTTAAATTTAATTTCGCCTTTTTAAAAAAACCACTTCTGCAGCTGCAGAGCTGTACGCGGCGGTAGATGTGCGCTGTAGCTCAGTGAACGTCAGCTGATGGTTACGGCTTATCTTTACAAATTCAAGGACGAAAGTTTTTTCTTATTAAGTGTTGCAGAAGGGAGTATCTTTCATGGAGCAGGAATTTATAGTTATCTAAGAATTTCTGTGCATTTCTTCTTCCTTTGAAACTGGTTCGCTGGCTTTGATGTGAATTTAAAGGAGACGCTTGAGGATATTGTTTAGAAGGATCAAACTCTTTTGTACTAAAGATATGCTAGAAAACTTGTAACGGTTTTGTATTCTAAAGGATAAACAATTTATTACTGTGTGAACAGTTCAGTATCTCCTTTATAGTTGAACATCAATTTGGTAATTATGCTATATTGTTCTGAGATAAAAAAAGTCTAGAATTTTTGTAGTTTGTCGTGGCAAAATCAACTGCCTTTATATTAAATACGACTGTTTTGACCCGATTACGAAGTTTTTGTTAGCACTGCTTAGTTACAGAGTTGACGGTAACCTGCTCCACATCCTACCGACCTGAAGTCAAAGTTTGTGAATGTTACTTTCGTGACTCAGCAGCACATTAGGAGCTACGTATTGCTAAAACGTGGGTTACAAAAGGCAAATCAAACTACAGCACTAATCAGTCTTGATAGTGTATATACCAACACACTTAAATATGTCTAAAATATTTGCCTTTCATTGACTGTAGTAAAGTATTGTAGGCATTATAGGAAAATTGCAAGAGTGTTGGCGTTGCACGATGGTCTGTTTTTTAAATCTCTCATTTAAGCTATTCTCTTACAAGAGTTATTTAGCTTTATTCAGCACTGATAAAATAAAAACAGTAGAATAAGTGGTTTGCAAAAATCCCTGCATAAGCACTTAATTTTGTCACATTTTTCTCCTAAATTTTGTCTTAGCAATTACACTTTTTATTATTTTGAGACTAAACACAGCAGCTCCTTCTTGTTACTCATTTTGGAAAAGCTGTGAGACAAAGTGTCAGGGGAGATCCAAGTTCCTCAATTGAGCCATACAGGCAAAGGATGAAGTAAAACAAAAAACATGTTAAGTAATATTTATGGTAGGTGATGTGTCTCTGTAATTGCTTTAAGATGACTGCTGTCTTTCATCATATTAAAAGCATTTATTCTATTTAGATGCAAAGTCACGTCATCCTAACAGAGAGGAAAATGAAAGATGAAAACACTTTAACTGCTGCTTGTAATAGAAGGTAAGACTAAAATTTTGATTGTCATGAAACTTTCATTTGGGCCCATTAATCAAGCTTGAAATTGGCCTCTTCAGTAGATGAGCAACACCAGAGAGTGATTTTTATCTTTCAGTAATACCTTTCAATGATTACTGCAGAGGGAGGAGGGTAGAGCTAAGCAGTACCCTTCTGAAAGGAATTCAGAAAATCTCTTTGGTAATTTATTTGAGCTGTTGGGAACACTTTACTTAGTGTTTCTGGAACAGTGTACTAATGCATAAAAACTCCACAGGCATATGACAACAAGAAAAAAAGAACTTTTCAGAATTGCACACACAAAAACTGCAAGCAGTGAGTTGGACCTGGTTACAGGCAGAAATCAGAGAGGGGAAAGAGGGCTTCACTGAGTGGAAGTGATCAAAAGTAATTGGATATTTATGGCATTTTATAATGTGAAAGAGAAACTGACAGAACCGAAATGGTTTCGTAATGTTACTTGCAAATCTTGAAATTGATGTTAATAAAGCATTATCAATACAAACATTTTGAGAACTCTGATAGGCAAATTGGGCAAAGTATTATCTAGAAAGAAGTCAACTTTACCCAAAATATACATACAAGATGGTTAATTTGTGAACAGTTGGGGTTTTGGTGGTGTCATCCCCCCTCCCCCCAATCACTCCAATTCATGTTAGTCTGTTTTCATAGGAGTTAACAAAATCTGACTTATTGTGTAACGGCGGCTTACCCTTCTCACACTCATTGGTGTGTGTGGCTGCTCTGGCTATTCTGAAGCAATGTGCAGGCTGGCTGGCTGCTGCTACCAAGCAAAATCTGCAATAGCCAAGTGCTACCTGCCTTCCCTCTATTTGACTCGGAAATGAATCTCTAAAAACTGTCCAGCGCCTGACTGTCATGTAACTTGTAGTTATTTATATAAAGATTTGCTTTTCATCCTGCAGATCTTATGAAAAAACGGTATTCTAAAACTTGTCTTTCTTTATCTTTGTCTTTATAATAGGTTATTTTGCAAAATGAAATAAAAATTGAATATTCCCTGCATGCTAAAGAAGAATTTTCTTTTCTTTTAAAATCAATTTATACAAGACACTTTTGAAAATGGCCTTTTTAGAACATGTCTTGATTGTTTAATCAGAAAATTAAGCTAGTTAGCTTCTGGATGGCAACAAACTTAATATTAAGGTTCTAGCTGTAGTTAGAATAGTTACAATCAAAACATAATGTTTAAGACCCCTTTTTCAGCAGCTCAGCCCATACAAAATGAGTTCTTCATCCCTGTTGTCTTGAAGGGCACCTTAGCCTCCCACAGATCCAATAGCAGGTTTAGGGACTAACATTTCCTTGTGATTTCTTAGGGAGATAAATTCTGTGTTGAAATTTTTCAACTGCATGTTCTTCCCAGTACTTCATGTTGGATGTCATCTTCATTCTGGTTGCAGCAAATAATGATAAAACTGTACTGCTGCATTGTATTTTCAGATATTAGAACAATTTTTATGCACATATACACCCATGAATATGAATTTGTCTTAGGAAGAAATATTCCAGATTCAGGATATCTCGTTTTGTTTGTTTTCAGAATATGAACTGGTATCACACTGGGATTTATAGAAATTATTGAATAGACCACTGAGTTCAGCCAGTGTACTAAGTCCTGTATAAATATATAGGTAAAAAGGACCCACTAGTTACCTTAGCATCCGAGGAGAAAAAAAGATGTAGTTCAGTTAAGAGATAATGTGCTTATCGCTTAGATATTTTTTTTTAAATTCATTAGTGTAGAAGAGATGCAGGATAAAAGGAGAGATGAAATAAAAACTTGGAGCACATGAAAAGCAGTGGCAAAAGGAAGCGATAACGGCACAAAGCCTGACTGTGCAGCTGAACCAGTGAACGTAACCCAGAGAAGTCAAAGATGTCTGTTTTAGTTAGATGTGGGTTTGAATATTGTGGAGGCCATCAAAGCTCGTAGGCTACTGGGGAAGCTCTTCTCTAGTGTTCTGCTTTTATGCCCTACTTTGCTGATGGTAACCTAATGACATAGTTTAGTAAAGCAGGTCTGTGAAAAATTAATGTCACGTGTCATCATATTGCAAATCTATTTAATTTTCAACCTCTCTTTCCCCCTCTCCCCCATTTGTTCTGTAGAAGCAAAGGAAGAACGGAGTTGACAAAGGTTCGTGAGTCATTATTTTTGGTATGCCAACCCCAATGTGCTTAGGCGCATAGGAAACAGGAAGAAATCCCTGCCCTGAGTAGTGCCCATCTCCTGTGGGAAAGAGGCAATGCATTGGCAAGTCACTTGGGGTAGTGGTCAGTGCTTAAATGCTTACAGAGGGCTTTCTGTTTCAATAGAGATTTTTTTTATATATATATTTTGGGAAAGGGGGGGCAGTGGCAGTGGTAGCAGCATTTGCCAGGGTTGAAATAAGAAATGTAGCAGGAAATAAAAGAAAAACTGGCAAAAGCAGAATGGGAGTGAGTGACTTGAAGAGTTAGCTGATTTCAAAGTATTTGGTGAGGTATAAAACTACAGAATGTTGTTGAAGTTCTGTTGTTTCCGAATCGCATGAAGTTTGCCAACCGCAGGCTGGATTCCAGGGAGGTGAAAGTAGTTATTTGGTAAAAAATGAAAACAAAAAACCCTGCAGTAACAACAACGACCTTATGTTGTTGATCTTCTAAAGAACGCCTATTGCTAATAAAGCCAAAGGTCCAAGTAGATATTACTCTTAAGTATTATAAACATAGGTTTAGCTTCTGTTTAGCATTTGAAGTGAAATGAAAACTTCATTTTCTTGCAGGTAGGTGGAAAGGGATCAAAAAAGTTAAGAATGTGAATGGGAGAAACACCCAAAATCTAGATTATTGAGAGCTGATTGAGTGATAATATATTAAGGCTTCTCCTGTCTACTGCCTCTTATTCTTTTAACACTTTATTCATTCTATTTTCTTAACAGTAATCAGTATAAACTACATAGTACTCATGAAACATTACAAATCTGAATTTTTCCAGAGATACAAAAGTGCCACATCTGCATTACAAATTTTACCCCTATAGTAGAGTCATGCCAAATTAATTGCATTATTATAGGTATGATTAATGATCAGACTTGTGAATGGCTGCTGGCAAACATAGAAAACTATTTACTTAAAGCGTGCACATTCCCTGCCAAAAGTATGATAATCATACCAACTTTCCTAGCGTGGTGTCAACATGTATGATTAGCTTCGTATTTACTAAGGCACTGGAGGATCCAGACATCCGCTTCTGGAAATCTAACTAAGAGTGTAAATGAGTGAATGGTGATTCCCATTGACTTTTGCACCTGCCTTCATTTAAACCTCTTTTAAATCCTTCTGGATGTGTATCTGCACCTTTAAACTGCTCACCATTTTAAAATCTATATTTTTATGACAAATGTAGGTTTCAGAAGTTCCATCTGTAAAGGGTTTTCTTGTGTTGATTATTGCTGCCGAACAGGGGACTTCCTTATTCAGCTATGCTCTGAAATTTTTTTATTTCATCAGCTTTGAGATGTATTCCTTCTTTCTGTAGAGTCATAATTGGTTGTGTTTGTTTAGGGAAGAAAAAGAAAACATACATCAATACAGTAATATAAATATAATAACATGCACAGGGTTACTGATTGCAAGCTCCAGCCATGGTTTTGGAGCCCTGGTGTATTCCAGAATGAAAAACAAACCCTCTCTACATCAAAGAATTTCATGTGGTTGTACAATGTGAAACAAGTGGAGTAAAGCAAAAAAGAAGACAAAGTAGCGAAGAGACGGCACATGCCTTCCCTCACTCCCTTGGAATGGTGATAAAGCGCTGAGAAAATTAGCAGCCCTTTTATCTCAGAGATTGTGTGCTATGTTGTATGTGGCCGTGAGCTGTCCTACATGTATCGGTCTGTCCTGATGAGAGTGGCAACTCCTTTGTGAAAGAGCACAGCTGAGTGTCTTTGAGGGAGATGAATGTGATTAAACTTGATGGATCTAATCCAGTGTGCACTAGTGCACTGAAGAAAGATTAAAGAAAAGAGTTGACAATATTAGAGAAACTAATCCGAGGTAATTTATCTTCTGCTACAGTCCAAACTAGTAGTTTCGCCTTATTCCCCAGGGATTTCTGTGTGCGTTTCTTGGTAGAGGCTTATTTTACTAGATGTTTGCCTATTTAGAAAGCTGATAATTTTTTTCTATTTAGAATGGGTAGGAGCTGAACGTGTAATTTATCTCAGCCTGGAAATAATGCTGATGTAGAAGAGCAGGAAGTAAACACATCTTGTCTCTGTCTCCATTGGAATACCTTGTTTCAACAGCAGTCATTAACTGGGGGAGATATGCATTTCGTGATATATGCCTAAATGCACTAGGATTGCAGTTTTGTTTGTCCTGTGTGGGAGCTGATGGAATAAAGGTCTCATGTTCTGTCCTCTGTCATGTGTGCTCCTAGCATCACCTAAACACAATCTTGTTCTGAAGATGTTAAATTTCATCATTTTGTAGTCACTGTCTATTGAAAAAAATCTTCTGTCTAATGAAACTCTTATCAAGACCTCAGGTCTGAATTTTCATACTGAAAGAGTTAAGTAACAAAGGCCAAGAAATCCAACGCATTTCTGCTCTACTGTCGAAGAGCAGAACCACACAAGAATGAGAAAGCTTACTATAAAGAGTCTAAAAGGCACAGCCAGAAGTGTTATACAAGTGGTGTGAGGGAGACTGTGCTAGAAGCATAGAGCCAGTGCTTGCCATCTGTCAGAAGGGCTTGAAAAAGGGTGAAAGGAAGTCAGTGTGGTGATTGCTGGGGACAAGAAAGCATCATTCAGAAAGCCGAAGTTACGTCCAAGTGACAGAGTTCAAAAGGACCTTTCGCCTTGGCAGATTAGAAGTAAAAGCACAAATGGGCAAGTCAAAAAGTGACTTTGAGGAGCAAGTAGGAGTGTCTGAGTAGACATGGACTCTTCAACCTGGTAGAGAGACTGCGGAGGTTAGATATAATAGAAATCTGCAGAACCATGAGTGGCACAGAGAGGATTGATAGCCGTTGGTTTTTTTCACCGTTTCTTCCAACATAAAAATGAGAGGGCGTGCAGTGTAACTGAAGTCTAAAACCCAAAGTAGTTCTTTGCATAAAAGACACCATTTGGGTTAAAGTTTATGTGGGCTGAAGGAGTGACTGGATAAGTTTGTAGAAGAGGGACCTTTTGAATGTTGCTAAATACATTGAAACTGCAGGAAACAAACTGAGCCGAAAATAGTGGGAGGCCATGGGATTGTTGAGGGGGAATACGTTACATGCCGATATACTTTAGAACTGATGTCGATGGCTGAACGTGCAGATTAAATTGGTGACTGGTAGAAAAGTGACTGTTTATCCTATTTTCCAGTAAGGGTCAGTTACTCTGGGAATAACATATTTGGAACAGATGCCCTTGAGCAGCTTAATCAAACAAAAAAGCACTGAAGCAAAAATGTTCAAAAAATGTGGTCTAATGGTTTTGTTTTCATGCTCTTTTCCCAGGAATCTCATGATCATGTTCTTTTGGATATTCCTGTCACTAGAGAGCAGATGAATCACTATCGAGCTGCAGCTGAAACTGCTCAAAGTGAACTTGCAGCACTTTCAGTGAAGTACAATTGTGCCCAGTCAGAGGTACATTTAAAAATACTTCCAAATGCTTCTCCAAACCTGAGGATTCTCTACAGTCACTTTCTGCAGAGAACAGAAAGTTTGCAGAAAGTCCAAAGCAGAACTTTTTTTTTTCTCGTAACATAGAATTTCCATGCAATGTTTACTCTGCTTACTTCTGTATCAAGAACTGAGCTTATATTTGAAAGATTTGAAGCAGTCTAGCTTTTTATCATCATCATCTAAATGCAATCGTTTGTAATTAAAACTGAAAGTTAATATTTCTAAATTGTGGTTGTATAAAAGTTCTGATAGATGTCCTCCTGTTGCTGCTGACTTAAGATATAACTGCCCATCCTCACCTATTCCTCCACTTTATTCAAGTTACAGCTTCCCAGATTTGCATTGCTTTCATCACCAATGAAGCTGTGATTGAGCTACTGAGGCTGAAGAACACACGCACATCCTTTTCTGCTATCCCTGTTCTGGGAATGGTGGTTCTTAGGAGAGAGGATTTATTAGAGGATAATTTTTAGAGTTTCACAGTTGTTTTCTTTTTTTAATATATGACTGAATAAGATTGATTTGATCCAGTTCAGCAATGCGGGCAGTGGTCAGTTTTAGAATGGAGTCAAATTTGCCTTTAGGAAACATGAAGTGCTTGCGTTTATTTACATACATAGATTTAGGTGTATGCATTCATAAATATCCACAGATAAATAAAGTTTGACAGAAACTTGTGAACATTTACCCAACAAGTATTTTAAACATGTGTACATTTTACAAGTGTGTATTTCTATTGGACATTGTAAAGTACTTTGCAATATACTTGCATAGCACATGAACATTAAAAAAGGCTCTATCAATGAAATAAAATTTCTTTAATTGTAGATAGCTGAATATGGGGAACAGCAAGAACATGTAATATTGTATGACAATGAATTGTTAATACACTATCCAGCCAGAACTACAGGGGTGAGTGTCCCTTGTCCAAGCTTGAATTTGACCAGTTGATCGTGAAATTACTGCAGAGGTCCCCTACATGTAATGGCTATCCAGGATCAGTACTTTAAATTTCAATTCTAAAAAGCCATAGAGAATCTCATGTTATCATAGGAAGAATTTATTACTGGAAATGCTGGCTTTATTGCCAGCATGACTGACTGATTTGTATGTTCTTTCAGCACTATGCTTGCAAAAATGAAAGAATAGTCAAGAAAGCAGCTGTTCCTGCTCTTGTTAATAAAGACCTTCATGACCCAGCTGAGGTCAGAGCCCTGTTCTGCTGAGTGCTCTGTAAAACTCGTGATATGGGATTATTCTTGCTTTTTCTGCTGTTGGAACTGACCACAAGGACAATGGACAGAGGAAAAAATATCACATTTTGCAGATGGGGAGTTGAACCACAGAGAAATTTTAAAGTTGTGAACGCTTTAAGCTACCATAGCTTGGTCCAGCTGCCAAGCAAAGCAATCCTATTGTTCCTTCAGCTGCTCATTTCCTTCCCCACACTGCCCCATCCCTTGTGTTGGCACAGATGTATGTGTAGTTTTATGGTGCACTGTGTTGTTGGGAAACTCATGCAATTGAAAAATAAAGCTGCCTCTTCTGGGTTGTCTTTTAGCCGGATCAGTTTCCCAATCTTATTTCAACTCGTAGCCATATAAGTGCTTCTGCTAGCACAAAGAAGAGGGTGGAGTATCGAAATGAAGCCCATGAGCCTGGGAAAAGGCAGGGCTGCTTTTCTCAAAATCAGTGCTGCTTTATGTCAGCTCCAAAGTGTCTGATAAACCAGTGTTTGCAGGTGAAGCACAAGCCCATTGGAGACTATGCTGCTGCAGCAAGAGTGATCCTCCTACCTGACTCCTCAGTGTTAGCCTTTTCTCTGTGGCCAGCTCCCCTTCCTCCTCCTCCTCTGCAGAAAGTAAATTATTTTCTGTCAGCTGCATTAGTTAAGTTGTTTGTGGAGGAGTTGGACAAATACCAAAGCTGCTGCAAGGGAGAGGACCGGAGTGCGCAGCTGGGAGCAGGAGAAGCAGGACCTCTCTTTTCCAGGGCAGTTGCCGTTCAGTTGGCTCACTGGCCTCCTGGAATTTCTCTGAGTGTCTTGGCTTTGGTCACACTGGAAGCCTCTGGCGGAGCCGTGAATTTCCTGACATTCTGAATTGCAGCTTACTGTCTTAAATATTTATTGCCTTAAAATGTTTGCCACAAGTTAAAAGCCCTAGCACATCATAAAGAGCAGCTAATGTGGCTTAATTATTTGCCTGTTAATTTTATGTAGTAGGAGATAAATGCTTCAGATTGTATCTTGCTGCTTATGATTGGAATTGTCCTGCCTTAACACTTCTTGTGACAAAAAAAATCCGCTTTAAATTACTTGTTCCTTTTAACAAAATAAAACACACTGAAATTTTGTATGCCTGGCGTGTCTGCCTCAAGCTCAGTCTTTTAGAGAACGTTGTAGCAGAAATAGTTCAATGGAAAATGGTATTTTTAACGAAAAGAGAAGGGAAAGTAAAGAAAAACAACTGAACTCCACGAACTGTTGGGAAGCTCTAGCATCATCTCTGGAACAGGTCCTTGACTTTTGGTGATGATGTCCCTCCTCTTACTCTTCCTTAAAAGGCTCTTTTGCTGTTTCTGTGTAAATCCAGCTAGATTTGATTGGATTATCAGACCATAAAATAACTTATTTGCGTAAGCTGAGAAGAGGTTGCCTACACCACAAGTCTCCAAAAATTTCTTTGCCTCTGAATATGCTGCAAATCATCAGAAGGCTCCACTCTTATACAACAGGATACTTTGCTGTTACAACTCCCCACGGCTATAGATTATCTGGAATTGTACACCAGAATTGGCAGCAGGGAGGAGGCAGACAAAAAAGATGGAATAGTGGTGTAAATGGCTGTATGGTAATGCAGATGCATAAGAGAGCTGATTTAAGGCTGTGCAGCAGAACTTAAGGTGGGCTTTTCCTAAATTCTGAATTTGTAAATAAATTTATCTTCCTGTAAGAGATTATCTTGAAAAATTGTATAGTATTACACAACAGCAGCTTTTGGTTTTACAAACCCCTTTCTTCCATTACTTTTTCCTAGTTATATGAAAATAAAGTTGTGTCCCTCCACTCAGTCTTGTAGTGACAGAAGACTCTGAGTCTTTTGTTCCAATATGTGTTTCTTGTCACATTACTAAACTTGTAGTGCAGTCACATATTTCAGCCCGGGCAAAATTATTCTTCCTTTTTTTTATGAGTTCTTTCATTTTCTGTCTACAGCTTCTTGAACTCAGGTCCAGGATGGTCACTAAAGAAGCCTCTTTTCAAGAGCTGAAAGCTGAAGCTGAAAGCTGCAAGGAAAACAATGCTAGACAGATGTCTCGCCTCCTGTCTTTGCAAACCCGAATTCAGGAGATGGAGGAAGAGGCATGCGTGCTTGCCACTTCTAAAAACCAGGCTGAGCTGACAGCTCAGGCGGCATTCAAGGAAAACTGGGAGCTGAAGGAGGAGCTTCATGTGCAAAATGCCAAACTTAAGTAAGATTCATGTGACGCGAGAAACTATTTATGTTTGGGATGACAGAATGGTGCAGTTGTCAAGGCAGAAAAATACGTTGGTAGACAGACTTTATTGCAGATCTGAATTCTGTCACAATACCTGGCACAACTGTTGTACTTGAATGTGTGGAAGGTATTGAAATTCGATTTTTGGTTTGAGTTGTTAGCCCATAAATGGGGTTTTGAGGATGTTGTCCTTCAGAGGAGAAATGATGACATGAGTCAGCTTGGTGTAACCTCATCGTTTACAAAAATGAGCAGAGAGGGCTGTTTGAACGCAGTAGAAACAATACATATGGTTTCTTCATTCAGGTGTTTCCACGTATGGCACTGAGGCAAACTTTGTGCCTTTCATAGCACACTTGTGATGGGCAGTACCTGCAACTATGGTCCAGTGCCCTGGTCTCCTTATCACGTGGCATCTTTTGCAGACATTTACCTGTCACTTGAGATGCTGTGTGGGCCGTGCAGTGGTCAGTGACTGTGCCGCTGCACCACTCCGATCTCTTTTACCCTCTTCTGTGTCACAGCTGGAACCAAAGCAGTGTCAAGTGAATTTCTTCCTTAGTGTAAAGCTGTCCGTTAGGAGCAGTGTAATAAAGAAAATACGGTATAATTCCTAGTTAATAGCATCCTGAAGGGAGCATGTTAATGTTTGGTTAATCTTTGTTCAGCTTTCACTAATGTTAGCTTTGTCTGACTTTTGTTCTACTTTCTTCTGGATATTGCTGTGTGTTTGTGTGTTTTTTGTGTTTTTTTTGTTGTTTTTTTGTTTTGTTTTTTGTTTGTTTTTTGTTTGTTTTTTTCAACATGCATACTGATTGCATAAAACTTGTAATAAAAGATAGTATCCTTAACTGTACTGTTCTCAGCATAGTGTGTCAGAGCACTGATCTGTCAGTTCTGCATAACTACTAATATTTCAGGTCTGTGGGATGGAGACTGATAGCAATGTTGACCACAGATAAAATTGATTGGTGTGAAAATATTCTGAACTCTAAAATTCCAAAATCAGTGTCAGTCATAATATATTCATAGACCCCTTATAGACTTTTATAATGGATTTTTTTCCACTGTTACAAGGCTAATATCCATGTCTCTCTCACTATTGTCTAGTTAAGAGCAAGGTTCACCAGATGTCTGTATTTCCTAAATCAGTATTTTGCACAGCTCTTCCAGACTTTGTGCATTACAAGTGGATAATTAAGTTATTTTAAACTCTAGAGAAATCCATTGCAGTGCACTTGTCTATTACCAGCTGATTTGCCAAAAGCCCTGCCTGGAGAGTGCTGATGTTGATGGCCAAAGATTTTAGATATGAACCCAATATAAGTGCGGAGATAGTTAAGCCAAGAAGTGTATTATGCATCCTAGCAACATAGAAAACATCACAGTCTCTGAGATAATGGTTGTTAAGATTCTTTAAAATACTACTTCTGGGGAAAAAAAAAAGAAGAAAAAAGGAAGAAAAACCTCCTGTCTTGTTTGCCTGACTCACTGGGAGAAGCGGTGACAACAGACAGTACTATGTATCATACTAGCCTATAGTTACAATGATATGATCAATTTTATGTGGCATAAATCTGTACTGTCACTCCCAGTGCAGTCCTGGCTGCTCTGTTTTGCCCATGACACTTGTGTCAGCACTTCCATTTGTATTGCTGCATGGTGATCGTGACCAGGGAACTGCTCCAAGAGAGAAGTGAGCAAAATACACTTAATTAATGAGCTTAATTTCCAGCTCTACCAATCCCGGGTCAGTTTCGTTGTGCTCCTGGAGTGTACCACTGGAATGCTGGGAAAAGGAAAGGGACAAATGGAGGGTGAGTCTGCTTTTTTGGAAGGAACAAACATGTTGGATTGGTCATGAACCTACAGTGTATGCTTTCAAAGCTTTTTCCCATCCTCAGCTGATGGTTACATGTGCCATAATACTAGTCAGTGTATTGAATTAATGAACTTTAGTTGCTTAGTCTGGCCACCTTAGTAGCACGTGGCACATGACCAGTCCTAATTAGGTATTCAAGAAAGATTTTCACTGAAAACCACTAATAAAAGGGAAGAGCAAGCCAGTAGGCATAAAATGCACATTTGCATTCTATACCTAGGGAAATAGTAAAAAATGTTTAATGAATTCTGTGATTGGTTTCCAAGATGTACACCTTTCTTACTGAAAATGGTGCTTTTCTACTCAACAGGTCCATTGCCAAGGTATTTTTAGAGCCCGAACTGTGAAAAGCTTTTCTTCCCCCCCCCCCCCCCCTTCTCTTTCTTCATTAGTTTTGGAGAGCTAGCAAAACTGTGAAAGAGCTGCGTTCTACTTTTTTGTACCTGATTGCCTATTTTCCAGGTGCTCACACATTTATGGCCCTACTGGAGGTAATTAGGTTATTCGTAGAGTTGTCAAGTACGTGCTTTGTACTTCAGATTGTTTATTTTTAGAAGCAGGCATGGTTCTGCCTGTGATGTGCTTTGATTTTTCAGAGCCATGGAACAGTTTGTGGGGTTGGCGGTCAATCTCATACAATATTCTAATATATAGGCGTGCATGTATCTTATACCTTTTCACTTCTATCATAGCCCTCCTCAGGACGGCAGCTTAGCAGCCATCTCACAGCTTAGTTTTCCTAGGGCTATAGAGGAGAGGAAGGTGTCTGGAGGTGCAAGGCACTTGTTTCCTGAGGGCCAGTGCCTGCTGCAGAAGGCAGAGCTCTTTTGGCTCACCGTGTGTGCTGTGCAGTAGCACAAGGAACTGTCCTCGTCCTGTCCAGAGCAGTAATTAATGTTTTCCATTCCTCTCCATTATTCTTCCACTCTCTTCCACTTTGCAGCAGTGACAACAACTGTGCTGATCTCCCTCCTAAGCCAATATCTTAAGTTTTTTCATAGACCATATCTTTTGCTTAGTGATTTATAACTATTTAACGCACTGTGTTCGCACTCACTGTGTGTTTTCCTGTAAGAGTCTCATGCTGCTTTTTGATTATGGAGTGATGCTCTATTGCCTGTTTGATTGCCATCCTAGAGAAAAAGAAGTCAGAAATGGAAAAGAATGAGTCCAGAAATGGCTAGCATGCCTACCTTGAAAAGTGAGAATAGTGTTATGCTCTGATAAGCAAATCAGTTTCAATAAAATATTTGTTCTAGACAGCTGTTTGGTGATATCTTGTTTTATTCTAGTGTTCAAATCTTTGTGAAGAACTTGCTTTAGGAAGTATCTTGTTTCTCAACTGGCAGCTCAGTAGTTTTGTCTCTTGCACTGTATTTTTGCCACTAAGTACCTCTCTCATGGGTGTTATCTGAGAGGTACGGGAGTTGATATTTGCATGACACTAATGGTCATTTTGAGCTTTGTTTGGTTGGCTGGTTTTGTTAATCTGTTTCTTTGTAGTTTTTCAGGAGCAATGCTCAGTGTTGCAGCATTGTGAGCAAGATTTAGATCTATATGTTTGCTACCTATGCAGACTGTGGCAATGCTTGTTTGCTGGACTTGTCTTTGACCCTGGCAATGGGAGGGGTGTAACCACATTTATGCCAATGAGTTAAACTGACCAATCTGTTATTTGGCTATTGGTTCTTACAGAATATTTGCAAACCAATACCTGCTGTTAAGGCTGATAACATTTCATGTGGGATATGTATCCACATGATAGGCACCTTTTGAGAGTGACGAAATTGATGACAAAAAGGTGCCTTTTCTTCGTACTTTTGTGGTAGTCCCTTGATATTTTCTTTTTTAATGGATCCCTTTAGCCTGCATCTGGTCTGCACTTTTTTCCCCTCTTTGCCTCCATGTCCTGTGTTCGTGGGTAGTGTTATGTTGCAGAAGACTTTTATGTACAGCAAAGTAGCGTCTCCCACCTCCATTTGCTTCTGCTGGTAAACTTCCTTTTGCAGGTACTCTGGGTGTCCTACACTTCCATTGGTCTGGAGGGGCTTCTCTTTCCCCGGAATTTGTTGATCAGCACCATCAGCTTCATTAGAGAGAGAGGGGATGTGAAGTGCTTTTAGCATATTTTTACTATAATTTGATCACTCTCTTCCCCCTTACTTTTTCTAAGCTTTTGCTTGCAGCCTCCATTTCTAGTATCTTGAGGGCACTGTTTATTGATGTTACCTGGTTCTTGTCTTTTATTGAAATCTTGTGCTGAGAATGAGGTTGGGATCATAGAGGATTCTTTAAAGTGCTAATCAAAAGCAAAGATGAAGAAATGTTTACACATAAGGCAACAACAAAAGTTGTGTCTATTAAATAACAGATATAGAGAATTATATGTAACTTTAAAAATTCATTTTGTGGTATGCAGAAGCTAGCAATAATCTTTGGATAATGTCTTTTGCCTAGAATTCTGTTTCAGAGAACATTCATCCTGATATGTGTATTTTTTTTCCTGTCTGTTTAGTAAATATTTGAATGAGTGTGAAGAAAGCATGACTCAAGCTTCTAAAATCAGCAGAAAGTATGAAGAGCTCCTTACACAGCTTTCTGGATTCTTGGACACAGACATCAGAGAAAAAGAGAAACCACAGGAACATCTAATGTTGAAGGTGATTATGTGTAGGCAAGGGTTTCTGTATAGAGATTTAATAGGATATTTGGTTGTCAAAGAAGTAAAGCAAGTGATGAAGACAGGAATCTTTGTGTTAAATAATGATTGGCAGACAGTGCTCTCATTTATGATAGATTTATTTTCATCTTGGGTTGATTTTCAAAGGTGCTGAACACTAGTAGACCTCAGTGAACTCAGTCTGGTCTTATCTGCATAGGTATTTTATCAACCTGTAGTTCCTAAGTACAACCCTGATTAGATACTTGGTTGAAAGCTTTCCTGAAAACATTAACACTGGGAATCACTAGGTGACATGTAAACTGTACACTAGATCTTAACACTTACCTTGAGCCAACATACCATTAAGTCGAAACATCTGAAAGGACATACCCTAAAACAACCTTAACTATGCTCTGTAACAAAATGCTGTAAATCACTGTGTGGTGTTTCTGAAACCTAATCATAAAACTTTATTATTTCTCTTCAGAATATTTCTGAAGTTCCAAAATGTAGGCTTCCATTTAGGAAAGGAAAATTGTTCGTAGACTCTTTTAACCTTTATTGTTGCTGCTGAAGGGCAATTTATAGAATCATAGAATCATAAAGGTTGGAAAGGACCTCTAAGATCATCGAGTCCAACTGTTAACCTAACTGCCTGGTGCACCTCTAAACCATGTCCCTAAGCACCACATCCACACATTTTTTGAATACTTCCAGGGACTGTGATTGTACCACTTCCCTGGGCAGTCTGTTCCAATGCCTAACCACTCTCTCTGTGAAGAAATTTTTCCTAATATCTAACCTAAATCTCCCCTGGCACAACTTGAGGCCATTTCCTCTCATCCTATGGCTTGCTACTTGGGAGAAGAGACCAACCCCCACCTCGCTACAACCTCCTTTCAGGTAGCTGTAGAGAGCGATAAGGTCTCCCCTGAGCCTTCTCTTCTCCAAACTAAACAACCCCAGTTCCCTCAGCTGCTCCTCATAAGACTTGTGCTCTAGACCCTTCACCAGCTTCGCTGCCCTTCTTTGGACACGCTCCAGCACCTCGATGTCCTTCTTGGAGTGAGGGGCCCAAAACTGAAGACGGTACTCGAGGTGCAGCCTCACCAGTGCCGAGTACAGGAGCACTATCACCTCCTTGGTTCTGCTGGCCACACTATTTCTGATACAAAATTTATCCTAATTTTATTTATCCTAATTTTATGCATTTTTCTCATGTTCTGTCTAGCTATTTTGGGAAATTTTGTTTCATTATATTCATGCTGTTATAAGAGTTCTGGCTATAAGGAATACTTAATAAATTAAGATTATCTAGGTATGTATCACAGTGATTTCTTACGGTCCTTGCCCTCATAATACTGCAAGCACATTGAAGTTGTAATAAATACTCTAACAAAACTTGGCTAGTTGTCATTACAGGCCAAGATATTTGTATTAACCTGTAACTCTTACATGCTTTAAGTTAAGGAAATAACTGGAGTTTAAAAAAAAAGTATATGTTGATGTCTCATTTTAACAATGTAGTAATAAATCTAGTTGGGAAATCTAATTTGTGCTGAAAACTGTGTGCATTAAGAAAACTTAGCAACTCATTTTTCTGTTTAGTGTCATGGCATGTCTATTTAGCTTCTTTTCCACATTGTGGTTTTAATGAAGACAGAATTGATCTGGCTTAACTTTAATAAATGTCTTGCCAGTAGGAATCAAGGTACGTTTTTTTTACCTTTTGCACTCTCTGAAGTGCCCACACTCATCTATTCCACTTCTTGGAAATAGCGTAACATACCAAAACAGCCCTAGAATCCTCCTGGAAATGACTCCTTTTTCCAAGGTGTCGGCTGCTCAGAACAGCAGCCCACCAGGTATTTGGCCCTACCCTTGAATATGCTTATGAAATAGCTGTTACTAACTCAAATCTCCCCATGCCTAAACAGTTTCAAGTGTAAAATGCAGCTTTCAGTTTCCTGTTCCAAATGAGACAGATAAATCTCAACAAGCCAAACTAAAATGGTCTGCTTTTTGCATGAAGTTAGTTATGTGATCTGTTTTCATTTTCTGACCTGCTTCATATCAAGTGCAGATACGCAGCGACAGTAGCTCTCCACCTGTTTAATAGATCATGGAGATTGTGTGGGAGTAAATCTGAACCACGTTACACTAAAGTGTGGGTTTCTGGTGGGAATATGATTCTCATCTTAATTGTCTTTCTACTCTTTTCAGAAAGGAACAGTAGAGTGCAATTATAAATCTGACCTAGGGGTCACCAGAAACACCATGTCTTTATTGGGATGATTAGGAGCAGGTGTACTGGGATGAATAAATGTCATTGTTAAGTGTTTTAAAAAAGTTACTAATATTTGAATTATTTCTCTAGGTCTCTGAAATATGTAAAGAAAATCTGTCACTAAAAGACCAGGTTGCTACTCTTCAAGAAGCTATCAATGTCCATGAGATGGAGTCCAAAGCTAGTAGAGAAACTATAACGAGGCTTGTTTCAGAAGTGACCAAGGAGCAGAAAAAGGCAGCAGGATACTATCAAGACGTGGAAAAACTTAGTAAGGTACCTAATTGCATGATGTATATGTTTGTCTAGGTTTCAAATGTTTTCTTGAAATTTCAAATTAATTTTCAGTAGGAGTTGTATGAGAAAAAATGCTTTTGAAAGACTTCCAGTGATGAGGTTCTTTCCTAAAAAGGACATTTTTCTAAGGTTATTCTCAACTTTTTGATATCTTGAGAATAAATGGACATTAAACAATAATATTGTGTAAAATAGGTCTGATTTAGATTTGATGTCTTCTGATGATGCTTGCAAATTTATATTTTTGCATCCCTCATATTGTTGTAGCCTTTACTGTGCTTGCACAAACAGGTAAATAAACAGATGTTTTTTAAAGCAGTGTAAACAGATAGAGTTAATGAGTATATCTGAGGCACAAGCATGGAATAATGAAAAAATACTCTTTTAAATAATATTTATGTGATATTGCAAGTTTTCTGAGGGTTCTTCTACTCAGTTTCTTTAAAAATTCTAATGAGAAATTGAAAAGAATTGATAGGACACTATTTTGTTCTTTCTCTTAAGGAACTGGAAGTAAAGTGTCTTGGCTTCCAGACACCCTAGATTATCTTGTTTCACTGTGTTATAAACTTGTATTTCATAACTGTAAATATTCAGGTGACTCATACCCAAAAAGTCGTAGGCAGTAGGATGCCTCTTGCAGGAAAGCACTGTTTTTCTGTGGGGAACCCATAGAGGAAATCTGTGCAGCGGGAATGATGCTGAAATGAGAAATGTAAGTGAAGCTGTAAGTCAAGTATTCACCAAATTCACCCAGGTATGATTTGGAAAGGAAAAAGGTATGATTTGAGGATTTACTTGCTCCAGGAGAAGTCAGTATTAAGCATTTTTATACATTGCAAAGGATGGACAAACAAAGTGAGCTTCTGTACCAGTTTTCCTTATTACTTTGTACTTTGAGGGATAACTGTGGAAACAGAGCAGTTTACTAAAACCATAATGCAAATTTCCCGCAGGGACTGGAGCAGTGTGGTTAAAGCTGATGGCCAGAACTTAAGAAAAAATGAAACTTAGACTGCCAAATATGTAGCTGAGCTGTGTGTGACTGAGTTTGTAGAAATTTTTAACATAAAGGCAACCTTGTACAAGTAAATTTTCAAATATAGTATAACATTCCCCCCCCCTCCCCCGTTATTACTTTTTTTCCTGAACAGACCACCACCGCCATACACTTTAAAGGATAAAGTGTTCTGATTTGGTTGTAGGCAAAATACTTAGGAGATGAGAAATAGCTGATGGCGTGCTCTGGAGAAGAAAGAATTTGTTGAAGGGAAGATAAATGTTAAGTACCACAAGGGTCATAAATTTTACTTACTGCTGAAAATACTTCTTACCAAGCTGTGTAAAATTTTCTAAGACTTAAATGGGTCTGAGAGAGAACCTGAACCAAAAACTTCAACAGGTCCTTTTTTGAGAACATTTTGTTCTCATACTTCACTTCAAACACAGGGGTATGTGTAAGGGCAGAGTGTAGGTTGCTCCCTAGGCAAGGCACAATCAGCAAATGTTTTAAACCAAGATGAGGGCTTCATTTGTGACTTGTTTTGCAAGTTTGCTCTGACTGCCAAAACATTTCCAAACTTGAACTAGCTGTATGCAAAATATTTTCCTATCGTTATTGTGCATATGCCAAATACATGATTTATTTAACCCATTTTACAGAAAGGTCTTGCTAAATTATTAGCATTGCCTTTCAAATGAAGTGTGTGCCATCAGAGCTTATCTAGAGGCTGCAGATTTCTCCAGTGCTGTTTCAGTTTAGCTACTTAAATTTGCAGATACTGAGTAAATCTGTTGAGAAGGTTTTGTGTTCACAAAGGCGTATTAAGAAATTCAGTATTAAAAAAAAAAAAGTAAAAAACTAAAGATGCTTTAAATCCACATATTTAAAGGAGGGTGTATGGCATACCCTGTTCCCCTGATGGGTGTCTTATTAGGTTACAGGAAGGGCATCAGTGGTATAAAGTTGGTTTGACTTTGTCATATACTTGCTGCGCAGTTTAAATAAGCACATGAACAGAGTTTCACATGTTGTGACCTGTTTCCCCGTGAAGGCGAAAAGCAGAAATCTATACTGTTTCTGTGCCAGAAGACGTGCACACACACGGCGGAGTGTTCCTCAACTGTTTTCTAAGCTTTAATTAATGGAATTGCCTGTGCAGAGTTTACCCAGCACAGACTGAGTACAAGTGACTCTTGGCTGCGTTTGCCTGAAGCTCCCAGGGCCAAACATATTGGCCATCTTCTGTATTACAGATTGAGATGGTGGCCCATTTCCCTCAGTTTTCTCTCAAAATTCTTCCTAATTGTATAGAGGCCATCAGACTGTTCTGTCAGCCTTCTCCAGCAAGCCTCAGCCATGGCACTGTTCCCTGCCACCTCTGAATCATTGCCAGTTTTTCTTGCTAGGTAGTTCTTCACTCCTGCTCCTTAGGATTTCTCTGAACTCCCTCTCTTGACCAGGTACCTTTCTTTATGTCCCAGGAGGAGGCAGGTACCTAATGATCAGTTAAACAGATTGTACATTCTGAAATTCTCGATGAAGAAAATGAAAGCCAGGCTGGTTACGTTCAAACAATATTTTATCAGGCTGTAAGGTTAGTACATGAGAGCAATTCAGAATGTTCTTTAGTATATTTGATACTTGAGTATTTGTTGCAGTTAGCTGGTTTTCAGTTGAGCAGCATTAGCAAGTGAATGATAATTTTATCTGTTCCCCTCTTAGCCTCACTGCATCACAATATCCAACAGCAAACAACAGAAACTAATCTAATCTCGAAACTAATATAAGTAACAGTAGCAAGCCATCAACCTGTTTTTGTTGTGATGTATTGCTTTTCTTTTAGAATTCTGAACTTCTCACATTTCTGACTAAATATTGCAAGAGCTTGCTTTTGGAATTCTGTAAATATTGTGCGTACCTTTATTCTGGCAGTGCTGGATATCAAATTTGCATTTGATGGAAAACAACTTTTAAATGCTGCCCAGATTTCTAGACTGAGAATCAGAATACCTGTTCTTTCTTTCTGTATGCCCAGACAGTGATTATTGGTTATGGTAATCATAATTACAGAATTATGACATTCTTTGGTCTTTATAAAATATCTGATTTATTCTAACCAAGTTTCTTTCTAGTATTTAATAAATTCCAATACAGCATTTGTTTAAGGTATAGAAGAAGATGCATATATTCTTCTTCCAGATGAATTTGCCTTTCATACTGCATTGCCATTGGTGAACCACAAGAACTAGTAAACTGGCTTGTTCTGTTTCACATCTTTGCTGGAGATTCAACCTGGAACTATTTGTGTTTCTCTCTGAAGTGTTAATTGAAACGTCTGTTTTGCAAAGATGTGCACCATCCAATGTCTTTAAAGAACATATTTGAAATATAATCAAGCAATTTTAATTAATACAAATATATCTGCATGAACTAGTGATGCAAAATTAACCATGAAAATGCTCTTCAGTATGCAATACTGACTTGTATTAAATTATGTTATTAATTAATAAAATTTATCTAAGTAGCATCTAATCAGTATAAATTTATCCAAATCAATTGATTGTATGAAAACATAATTAATTAAAATATAAACTTATTCTTTAAGGAAATTGAGTAAACTTGAGAAACATGCCTACATTTGGAATACACCCAAACACTTTGATTGTAGGAGACGCAGCCAAATGATTTTAGGTTTTTCTTCTCCCAATAGATAAATGAAGTAATGAGTTTCTCAGTTAGAACCTGGATTTTTTTTGTTTATAAGATCTAATTAAGAAAATACATATTAGGGACAGGTTTCAGCAGGCATTGCAAATATTTCCAGGTTGAATCATCAGAGAAGACAGGAGATAAAAGCAAGATAGTTTAGAGTCCTTGTGGTATAGCAGTGGTAACTGGAGATGCGACTGGTGCAAGAATTCATCTGGAAGATACCTGCATTCCCTTTCATACCTTATTATTTCTGTTAATGTGTGTTTTTGGTTTTTTTTTTTTTAATATGTACGTGTAATTGACTTAGTATGTTGAAACCCCGATGCTGATTGAGGTGCTAGTATTAATAATGATGATATAAGTTCAAATATCCTTCTCTGGTCTAAAAACCTTCTCAAATTATTTAGTGTAAATACTCTGCTTTTCAAAATAGATGAAAGCCCAAAAGTCCAAAGTTTCCTCTGGAAGGGTAACAAGGGCATTGGTTAACACATGGCTGCTCCAAGAAATAAAACGGAGGAGATGGACTTGTGGTTGTGGCAGGGGTTGTAGAGCCATAGATGCTGGTGAAGGACGGCAATTATATAGAAATTTGCTACGTCAGGCCAAATAACTGTTGTCTAAGCTGTGAGAGGGGCCAGTAGCTTATGTGTGGGACATTAGCCATAAATGTTGAGGAGCCAAAGAGAAAACATGAGCTGTTGCAGTTCCATCCTTTTAGTCTTTTGGGGTGGAAATTGTTTTATCCACCTGCAGTGATCACTTAGGCTCTTAGGGGTTTGCTTCTAGTTGGGATACCACCTTTACATGTCTCAGTCCCTAAACTTCTGGATACTGTTCAATGTTCAGGCTGACCTTACTGAAGCTAGTCACTGTAAATGCTCTCCATTCAAGAGAGGTTTCAAGGAGGATTGTTCAGAATCTTAATGTTTTGAGTTTTACAACTTTTCATTCTGTAAATTGCTAGGTTGGTTTTTTTTTTTTAATGTTTAGGCATCAACAGGCTTGCAGTTCCTTATTTTATACCTGGATCTTTTGATTCAACTGTGTTTGTTTGCAGATGTTCACAATTTGAAACAAGATTGTAATTAGGTATGCTCCCTGGTACTGGCAAACTACTTTTGCACTGCCTTTCTGAAAGGAAAAATACACACTGCTGAAAACTGTAATTGAAAGAAACCACTCTTTATTCTTTGCTATAATTACCATAATGTAATTCTGAGCACAGGTGGGAATTTTCTATTAATAGGACATGCTTGGAGTAAAAAAGAGAAAATGGCAAGGAATCATGCCAACATTTGTTTCCAAGAGAGCTCTACAATTACTTTAGAAAGGGGTAGTAACAAATAATTTCCTAAATGACAGGGTTTGTTTTGGTTTGTTTTCATTTATGTGTTTGCATGTTTGGCTTTTTGAAGCTATTTAAAAATTTTAGTATTTTTAGTATCATATGTTTATATTTTATTTCCAAGGGTCCCTCCCAAACTCCCGTTTTGTCCATCCTCACTGCTGATCTACATAAATACTCCCCAATGTACTGCCTGATTGGCATATATTCCATTAATACAAATGACTTACTATGCTACGCAGCAAGCACACGTAGACCCTGAGAGACTCCCGAGTGGTCACCATATTCACAGCTGCTCCAGGAACAATTCTTTAACTCCAATGTACACAATCTTAGTTCATAGCAATTCACTTACTGAGCCTCTACTGAACAAGTGAAACTTCCAGAGAAATTCAATCACTCTCTATAAATATGCTATTCTCTGGCATAATTTTGTGTTTTGTGTGAAGTAATATCCTTTCCCATTTGTTCCTGTCAATTAGATAATACCCTGAGAAATGAAGACTCAGTCTTTGCTATACTTTTCATTAGTTTCACTGCAAATTTTATTCTTGTATATGAATGTGTAAGCACTCTTAATGTTGGTATTGTGGGGAAAGGAAAGAGGTTCACAAGATGACTGAATGAGAGATATGATTTTTTCTTTATATTTAGGTGGGTTATTTTTCTTTTATTTTTCTGTCATCATTTGCTTTTGCATCATGGGTCAGGATACACAGTTCCGTCTGTCTGCTCTGCCCTGTTGGGTCAATATTTTATATACAACTGATATAGATATATATGTACTGGCTATTTTTTCTTCTTACCAAACTGAGTCTTGATTCATCAGAAAATAAAGGAAAAATAACTTTTAAAAGCTCTGGGCTTAGAAGGAAAGGATCATAGGTGTCAGGGGCTGAATGGGAACCATGGCAAAATGCCAAAGATCTGAGGATGTCCCTCAGCAGTAAATCATAAGGGCTATTCACCAGGTAGCCTTATCTTACAGTACCCTGTCTCCCTACCGAAGACAACATTGTCTTTGAGTGTATAACATCTCAAATGCAAGGGACTGACTACTTAAAAAAAAAAAAAAAGGTTACAAGGGTACTAGATAGAACTGCCATCCCATTAGTCCTTCCTTGGTCACGCTTCTGCACACTGACAGCCCAGCTGAGCAGCAGATGGGGCAGTTGTAGGCTCTGTGGACGGGACACAAAGCTCTTCACTGACTTTCTTCTATTCCTCAAGCAAATTTGACCTTATGGTAATACAGATTTTGTTTTCCTCAGAAGACGACATAGTTCAAAATAATTCCCTTTTTGAAATTTTTTCTGAGTGTTTCACAATCTAAAGGTTTTCTTCTTTGAGGTGAAATTGGTATTTGAGCATTTGCACCTTCTTTTATGCTGTCTTAATGTCATCATCTTTGTTTGGCCCCTCACTCCCCATTTCTGTGTATAAATAATCTAAGGAATTTTTGTCATATTCAGGTAAGCTGATCTGAGAGATCACCTCTAATTTTGTTCTTAACACTATATTCAAAGAGTTTGTGTGTATTCTTTTGGTCTGAATTGATTTGGTCAGGCAGTTGGACAAGATGATCATTGTAGATCCCTTCCAACTGAAATATTCTATTCTATTCTATTCTATTCTATTCTATTCTATTCTATTCTATTCTATTCTATTCTATTCTATTCTATTCTATTCTATTCTATTCTATTCTATGCTTTCCCCTCTGAGGTTTAGTATTTTGGCTTTATTTGTGTTACATCTTGTTCACCATTTGTTTTCTAAGTCATATTATCTGAATGAAAAAATAAGATAGCAATAGTTTTACAATAAAAAATTGCTTTTTGTTTACCTGCAAATTTTATTCATGTATTACATCTAGCAGGCCACTGCAAGAGGTTAGTCTATAGTGTGATTACAGCAGGCTTTGGGCTTTCATCAATTTCAGTTCTCCTATGAAGCCCTGATGTTGAGCCCATGTGAGCAGTATGGGTCCTAATTTCTCTATCTGCAGTATCTGCTTCTGAGTTATTCCCTGCTTTGTGTGTGCAGGGGAGGGGTTATAACAAATTTTAAAAGCCTGGTTTAATCTTTCATATATTTTAGGATCTTGACAGCGCTATAATAGGGAGACAGAGTTTGGAGATGGAGATCAGAAACCTCCAAGATAAAATGACTGCTAACCAGAAAGCTTTGGATGCCTCAAAGTGGGAACTGCACAATCTGAAGAAATCTTCCAGTGAGCTGGATGGAAGCTTGAAGAGCAGCAGAGAAGAGGCCAGGACTGCTCAGAGCTCTTTAGTGGCTTTTAAAGAACAAATTGCTACCCTGCTCAGTGGTGGATCTTCAGTAGTTCAACCTTCCGAGAAGGCTATTTTGGAGAGGATCCAAGAAATAAATTGCAAAGAAGAGAGTAAAGAAATAGTAAGTCAGCAACAACTGCACTCGCCCAATGTGTGTATTTATTCTCTTTGGATCCTTTTTCATTTTATTCATCTGTTAGAATGTTGTTTCCTTCTGCTTAGGTTTTGAAATTACAGAAACTTTCAATTTTGCTGTCTATTGATTTGAGATAATAGGTGAAAAGCATCTGTGTTTTATTAAATAGGAAGAGGTCAGAAATGAAATTAATAATAGGTGCTGTTAACAAGACAAGACATGGAATGGTCTTTCAGTTAAGACATTGAAATTTGGTTTCAGTACCACTTAGCAGACATCGAAAGTGGCTGTGTGGTCCCTATGATTTAGTGGAACATGTGAACAAGTATGGATTTGCTGCTACAATAGTGACCCCAAGGACTGACCTGTTTCTCAAAGCAGACATAATTGATGAGTTGCCTCAGGCAACTTCTTTCGCTCCAATCCTCAAAACCTGCACCTAAAAAGAAAAAAGTATTTTTACACTTACAGTTAAACATTGTTGAAACTGTAACTGTTGACCATCCAGGAGAAAGGCAATAGGAAGACATCTGGGTTTTCTAATGCTCTGGCTCAAGGGGTTTTGGCTGGTCGTGTTTGCAAAGGTGTGTTTGCATGTACAGGTAGAAAAGGGACAGCTCAGGAGGAAGGCGAGCCAGAATACCGTCTGACCAATGTCAGTATCCCAACACTGTACTGATGTTTCTCACTTGCTTACACGGGCATATATTAATTTTGTCAGCGAGGACTATTATTTAATTAAAGTTACACACTAAATCAAAGGCTGTTTTCACTGAGCCACTGAAAAACAACTTTTGTGTCCTTGCCAGATTTTAAGATTCTAGCGTCTCCTGCTGATGTGATAGTTTTTTATGTTAGCAAATGATTTTGTATTCTGTCCAAGACTGGCAGTAGCTCCTGAAAATATCCCTGTGCATTTTGATGAAATATTTTGTTAAAAAATACAAAACAGCTCCCCTATACCTTAGTTTGAGAGTCAGTATGCTAAATTTCAATGAAAATAAGCTTTGTGAAAATTATTAACATTTGAAAGTGATCCACTGAGGTGGAAGTGTGGCAGCAACTTTTTAACAGAGCAGCTCTTTACAGTTTTGCTATATGTCATGGAATGTTGTTTCCATAAGCAAAATGCTTTCAAATTGAAATCTAATGAGAATTTTATGTGCATGTGTGTGTGGTGTTCTGGTATACAGACCACTCCGTTGAGATGTTGATTATTTTGAGAACTGCTGAGAAAGGGAAATTTAAGTTGCCTGGTAGCTATTGAGTTAAAACGTTTTGCTCCTGGGAATGCTTTCAGGTGACCTGCTGCTTTTGTAAGATTCAGTTGTGGCTAAGTCCATTTGCGTACTGCATTGAGCAGCTGTTAAGTCTCTTGATGGATATACTACAGTACATGCATAGTGCGTGCTACTTATTTCAGTTCTTGTTGCTCCTGATTTCATTCCTTAATATTAGCTTTACATGTTGGGTTGCCCACTTGATCATCCTGCAGTCTGGTAGTACTGGCCAGGATTCAAACTCAGTCTTTATTTTGTTGCAGATACAAACTTTTCCAGCTGCTTGAAAGGAATATGGCTGGTTCTCCAAGTAACAGCATTGCTTGGAGAAGTCATGTTCTGTTACAGAGAACTACTGTAAAATACACAACAATCAACTATTCTTTGTCTAAACAGCTGTGATTATTTTAGAGGTAAAGAAACTGATGTTCAGCAAAACATGTAGTTTTCCATAACAGCGTTTAATTTATTTGGGTGCTATGCTCCAACCTCTCTCTCTCTTCCCCTGTCTCTGTCTCTCTCTCTCCCCCAGAAAGACCTGTTGACTTTTGCAATGGAAAATAACTCCCCTTTTTTTTTTCCTGGGTCTGAGGATGGAGACAGATTTGTTTTTCAGTATTATTGCTATCAAAATTAAATATATGTGCTAAAAGGAAGCCTTTGTTACTAAGACAGAGCAGGTATCAGCTCCAATCTGCTGCTGCCTAAATCTGTGCTTTGGAACTACGATGCTGGTTTTACAGTCGCCAGCTTTTGTTGGTTTATTTTTATATAGTAGAGGAGCTATGTCAGGTATGTCTAGCGTGGCATTCTGCCTCTGCTAGCAAATATAGCAATTGCCTGCTATACTTCTAGGAATACTCCCCCAAAATGTTAGTCATTTCTAAAAAAAAATTTTGGCTTAGTTTCCTGAACTATAAATATAAGCTTTAATTTTAATATTTAATTTGGTCATTGATAAAAGTTTTGTGGATCATTGTAATCGCTAAGTATGTTAAGTGATGAAGCTTTAATGTTTTACTGCTATGACTCATCTTGAAAAATTTATTTGCGTTTCCCCAAAGTGAACTATGTTAATAAAGCAGTGCCGACATCTATTGTCAGAAGAGTTTTTACATTAAGATTAGGGGCTTTGAAATAACTAAGCTAAAGTGCCAACATTATGCACCTACGAATCTGTTTCTAATAGAACATAGACTTTGTCATCAAAAGTTGTTTTACAGTGAACTGCTTTTCTTTCTGCAAATCAGAATTAAAAAAAGCCCATTTTCTAAGTTCCCATTTGTAAGCAACATACATGTTGGTATGTATGTGTCTATCAGGTTCCTATTGCATCTCTGAGTGAATTTCTTTCCAGGATTTGGATATAACATCAGCGTTAGGATATGTATGCTTTACTATCAGTCGATCAAGAAAAAGGTTGTCTTCAGATAGGATTTCTCGTAGACCTTTCAGTAAACTGAAGTAGAAGACCCACAAAAGTGAGTCATTAAACTTGGCAGGGTAAATCAGCCTGTACTGTTGCTGGTGCCCAAGCTAGCTTGTTTCAAAACAGCTCCGTTGTGGCTGCAGTCCAGCAGCAGTGCTAGGACAGCTAGGTATGAATGCAGCAGCCGAGTGCCTTGCTGCTGGAAATTGAAAATGTGCTAATGAATGCGCTAATGTATAAAAGAGGAGGATTACAATTAGGTCTTTTGTTTCCCTGAGTAAAGATTGTTTCTGTCAGGACATTGCTGCAAGCAATTTGCCTTTGCAAGCTAAATTAGGAAAACACAATGCAAGAATCTGGGAGAAAGAGGACCCTCCCTGCTTGAGTGTTTTGATGCCTTCTCTAAACAGCTTTTGGTTTTTCATTTTTAAATCATCACGGCAGCTCCTCTGGGAGTTTTGTGTATAGGATCGTATACACTAAATGAACTGGCAAAATGTTCATCTTTACATCCAAGCCTGGTCAGCTATGTCTGGCTTACCTCCTGTCAGACAGAGCTGTGAAAAGTTTAAATTTTAAAAGGCCTGTGAGAAAATTATTCTCTGCAACTGCTATAGTCAGATTTTCTGTGAAATCTGAAATGCTCTTGAAGATTATGTCTCCTAATTATGATCATTTTGGTATCTGAAGGGCATCTGAGTTAGTCATAGTCTATAGACTAGCCCTTAGCATTAACATTAGCAAAAATTGTAATTTAATTTGAAGAAAATCAGCATATACTTTGACAGTGTCCAGTGACAGGTATTCCATTGCAGGATTAAGAAACTGCTTTGAATTAGTGTCCTAATGATCTTTTCAGCAGTTATAGTAAGATGTGTATCATCTGAATGTGTTTGGACAGCTCTTGGGTGTTTTTATCATTTATTATTTGTAACATAGCAGAGAGGTTCACGGGCACCTGCAGTCCAAGGCAAGCAAATATTCTCAGTTCACACAGAGCTCAGCCCTGGTATGAGGTTTCTGGGTTCAGGTCCTTTATGTTTGACAAGTTTTGTTGCAGATCTGTTGCAGCAAATTAAATTCATATGGCCAAAACTGTTTCTCTTGACTACCTACCCATCTGACCTGAGATAGGAACAGCTGATCTGATTGTAGATTGTCTTAATTTTATCAGTTTTTGTCATTGCATATTGATATACAGACTCTTAAATGCCAAAATTGATTACATTCTACTGCTGCTCCCATTAAAATCTCCTGTTGTTCTCATTTCTTAATGATTTTTATGGTAAAGTCATAAGTGCATATTTAGTTTTAGGGATTCATCCACTTTACCCTTCCAAACAAAAGAATTGAGAGGAAAATAATTTGGGAAATTAAATTAAACATTGATAAAAGCAGAGTAATATACATACTGACTTAGGGCTGACCAAGAAAACCCCAACCAACTCTAATGTGAGAAATTATTAGGAAAAAAGTTGAGAAGAAAATGAAAATCATAACTATGCCACTGTATAAATTCATGGCTGGTGCATTCTGCGTAGCACACACAGTTATGATAATTTCATTCAAAAAAGGGCCTTCAAAAAGTACCGGTAAGGGCCATGAGAGTGTCTAGAGGCTTCCATGCAAGGAAAGACTCAGCAGACAAGAACTTTCCGGCTTGGGTTGGTGAGTGCAATGCAGTAAAAGAAAATACAAGTTGTAAGTACCATGATAAGAGATGTGGTAGCTCTAATGCTTTTCAGCTGGTAGGGATCTTAAAAAAAATTTGTACTAGGTGCACGTGTGTGTGTATATGGGTACATATAAAACAGTGGGTGTTTAACCAGAACAGTATAGCTTATTGATTGAAGATAATACTAAGAAGATGAAAATATTTAGTTGTTATGCAGGAAAAGAGGAAAAAAAATTGCCACTAAGATGTGAAGGACCTTGTCACATCATCCTACATGCTACTTTCTTTTGCACTCACCCTAAATCCACCATGTGCCTGTCTCTATGACTTTTGGGCTGTTGAGGGAAATGCCCTACCGACTGCATAGCTGTAGCCAGCTTTCTGTTCTGGTGTGCTGTGGGGCTGGGCCTGGTGCTTGCACATGCCCTCTTCTTAGCACAAGGAAAAATAAAAGCATAGCACAAGAGAAAAATAAAGTCAGGAATATTTTACTGAGGGTTATTAGTTGCAGCAGGGATGAACCCTGCTGTCCCCAAGGTAGGAGCTGCCCCTGGAAATGAGTATTTGCAACTTCTTGCAACACAAGAAATAAAATGTCTTTGAAATTATCTGGTAGCCACATTAAAACAAAAAGCAGGAAGTGTTTTATTGCAGGCTGGCTGAGCAAGCTGCACAAGTCATTGGCATAGGAAATTGTGGAGGTCAGAACCAAAAATGCAGCCTTTGTAAGTCACTGGATACAGGCATGGGTGGGTAATAAGGATGCAACTCTATTACAGGAAATCCCTAAGTTGTTGATTGTCCCTAAGCCAAGGATGAAGATTACTCCAAGATGCTCTGGAAGATAAACTGACAGCTTGGTGGTTTTGTGGTCTCACCTTCTGTGGTATGATCCCTCACCTTCTTAGGTTTATGGACCTTTGAAGCTTGTAGAAGCCCCATGTGGCTGGGCTGCGCCCAGAGCTGCTCTGCAGCCTGATAAAGGGGCTCTGGGTTCTCCGGCAGCAGCCTATCTCTGTGGGCACAAGTTACTGAAAGCTTTTCTTTTTCCCTGCTGAGCGATACGTGATGCAGAAAAGCATAAAATGTGTCTGTGGGTTCTTGCAGTTTTATTATTCTTTAGTGTTTTCTACCACTGTATGAGCAGCAGTAATTTCTCAGCGTTTTTTAGGTGGGTTGGGTACAAATTATTGTTTGTATTTAATTGCAGTCTAAGTTGGAAACCTTTCTGTGCCATTAAAATTAATGGGAGTTTTGTGTGCTTATTGTTCATTTTATTAACAGGAGGCAAACAGATGCTTAAAATGAAGAGACTGCTTGGAGATGAGTGTCTGAACACTGAGTTACAAATGCAACACAATTAATTACATAACCGAATAATTATATGACAGTAAGAAGAGGAGACAGAGAAAGAGGGAAGCAAGCAACTTTTTAGATAGAACTTTTTTTCAGTATTTGGCAGTAGTGTAATCAGATGCTTTCAAGCATTTAATTTATAAGAAGTTTACAGCTTAAAATCCATAACATTATATGTAGGTGTTGCAAAGTTAACAGTGTAGAGCTACAAGTGTTTTCAGAATTGTTAGTCTAGTTTCTTGTTACGAGATTTTATCCTTTTAGCCTTGGGCTTTGTCTAGATGACAGATTTTTTTTTTTTTTTAATCAAAATCTTTTAGTTAAACACTCTTTAACAGTTAACAGTTGGGAAGCACTCCTCTGAGACTTAGCTATCCATATCTACGTTCTCACCTACATGCTGCATGTATTTTCTAAATCACTCTTCTGTTTTTTCCACTTGATAGACTAGTGATTTTATTGGCGTATTTTAAAGAATGTTAGTTGACTGCCAGGTATTGCTGGTTTGCTAACATCTTTGGAAAGTTTGCGTCTAAATTAGTTTGTATTAATTTTTTATAGATGGTAGCCCCTTTTTGTCAGTTGACTCATCTTAAATACAGTTTCTGTTGTTCACTTTTGGGTGTCTCACATGTCACCACTTCTGCCATTTTCTCCTGGTGGTTACAGCAGATTTTTCTCTTTCTGTCTTTTAAAATGTATGCATTTTAAAGATAGATATTTTAAGAATGCATCTTTCATATCTTTCTAACATTTCCACACCTGCCTAACCCCATATGTTTTGTTGGTTTGCTTGCTCCCTAGATGGTGTCCCAGCTTGAAACCCAAATAGCTAAATTGACTGAAACTTTGGAAAATCAGACCAGATTGTACCAAGAAGCTCTGGAGAGGAGCAGGAAAGCTGAAAAATGTTCTGAAACTTTCCAGGATCAACTGAAACACTTGGAAGAGGAATTACTGTCTGTGGATCTGATGCAAGATGGTTTGAAGCTTGAGAAACAAAAAGTAGTTGCATGCCTTATTTTCTTTTACATAAAAGTCACTAAAGACAGATACAGCTAACTGTATTGCATTGATCAGCTGGAGTATTACTCACATTACTGCAATTAATGTGAATTAGCAAAGTCAGGCATCATGTAGGGAGTAGTAATATCTTTTCTTTGACCAACAATTTTAGTTGGAAAAAGTAGCTAAGCTTTTGAGCTCAAAGTCCATTTAATGTGGAAAAAAAACCCCAACAGATTAAAAGAAGTCTCTGTAAATACATCAGAAGTCCTTCAAGGATTCTCTGATCTCAAGGCTTTCTCTGATCTCTCTGTCTTTCTCTAATATATCATCTGGTCTGCAGTCTCTCAAGATCTTGTAGTCTTTGATTCTTTTATATCCTTAGACCGTCAAGGCTACCAGGATTTTTTGAATGAACACACTGTTAGCCTATAACACTTCTGCATACTAGGAGTTTGAAAAATGACATAGTTCCTGGAAAGCTAAACCAGCCATCCAATACGGCTAAGAAAGACAAAGTTGTAGCATGTTACCAGGCTTTGAATTTGCAAAGAATCAACAATTGGTTACCGTCTGTTTTGCATTAGTCTATGATACAATAACTTTTATGAATGAAGCATCCACCACATTGGGAGCAAACCAGAAAATGGAGCTGTTCCTTCCCCTCTGCTTCCTCTGTGAAGAACGTGTGGCCCTAGTTTCTTAATTTCTCTCTAGACTTTGCTGCATTAGAGATTTTTGTTGTGATTTTTTTCTGTTAATGAACAACTTCAGTGCTTTCTTCTTCTGCTGCTGTTTTTAACTTTTTGACCCAGAAGCATCACAAAACAAAGAGATTCTTGCTATGTTTTTTTGTCTTGGGCTCAAGCAACAGTTATGAAACTGGTTTCTTGGGTTTTTTTCTTTGTTATTTCTTTGCAAAGATTATGACCTGCAACAGAAGTAGGAGAAAACAAAGGCAAACATAGTTCCTAGTGAGAAGGAGAGCTTTGGGTTAGGCAAGAGACACTAACTGAGACCAGGGAACTAATGCAATTTTTAAAGAGCTAGCAAGGCAGGACAAAAGAAGGAAAAACCAGATTAAATAACATTCGATATCTGTATGTGTTCACATTAGTAAACCAGATAGAGATGCAATTAAAATAATCTTTAAAGCAATTTATAAACTAATAACTGTTATCTCTAAAACTTCCTGTTCTAAAGAAGGGCAAAAGCCTGACCATGTTAACATTCCCGCGTCTCCTCAGACTACACTGGATCTCACCCATGGCATCCCTGGTACCAGTTTTATCTATTTTAGAGCTCACAGCAGTGGGCAATCACAGCATTTGCAATTAGTTGGGATGTAGTTGTCCTTTCTAACTTTTCCCTGCCAATGCATGGTCGTGTAAAGCAGCAGAGCCACAGACAGGAACTGGAGTCAGAAGCAGACACACATACCTAGTGCTTTTCTTACTGCAGAGGAGCAAAAAACAATCTGATTTTGCTAAGAAGGTAAATACAGTAGGTCCAGGGATTTATGAACAAAATAAATGTTGACTGAAAAAGGACAAATGGAGAATTTGCAATTGTGTCAGGAGCGTGTACTATAAACATACCCTTTCAGTATGTTATTTCTTGTGGATAGTGGACTTGGCTATGTATAGTTTGTTGCCGGTGTAGGGGCAATTGTTTTTAAATTGTAATTCAGGACTTTTAATGAAGTTTTATTATTCTTTTATCCACTTTTCCACATCTTATCTTAGTATCTGAAATTTCTGGAGCAACTTAATGAGAAGATGAAGCTGGATAGCCTAGCAGCAGAGGTTGGATTTGATATGAATATGGATGCGATTCTAGCCCGGGTAGAGCAGTTAGTGAAACTGGAAGGTGATGCAGTGATTGAAAACAAGACTATGGCATATAGCCTAAGAAGGAAGGTAGGCAAAAAAGACATCCTGTTACTGTTTGTTTCAAAGATAAACATTGTTATGGCTATATTTCTATAGTGGTTTGCTAGAGGCAGCAGATTGGAGCTTCATATATGTACAAGGAATTTCAAAGATGTCCATTACATAAAAAGATGATGGTAAATGTTTGCAAACTGTGCAAACAGACTGCATATTAAAACAACTAAAACTACCAGTCAGTTGAATACGTGCTTTTCACAACTTCTTAAATAAGTGTATAAAGTTATGCATGTTTATAAGTGTATATACGTCTACTTTTTAATACACATCTGTAATATACTTTGGTAAACATCTACTGTCGATATTTAAATCTAAAAAGATCTGCTGGGAAGGGGGGCATCTTACACAAACTTCTCTACAAACTAGTAGGACGTTGGCTGTACTTCACCAAGAATTTCAACATTTCCAACAAGAACTGTGCTCCTTTAGGAGCAAATCTGTTCAAATTTGATCAGACACCCCTCTGTCATCCTGTTATGACAGAGTGAAATCTTCTGGTTTTAGGCTTATCAGAATGGTTTAGAGCTTAGAATTAGGTCTGTTTAAGGATTAAAATAACACTCTATTTTTTCTGGAAGCAACTGCCTCTCTAGCAGGGAGTATAGTATGTTTGTTAATACTCCTCAGATGTTCCAAAGTAAAGCCTGGGAGCTCAGCTCAGGTAAACTGAAAACAGGTAGCTCCCTGAGCATCAAAATTACAAAACTAAGCTGCCGGACCTTGTATTGGAACAGTGCATGAAAGTTTTCTTATTGCTGTACGTTGATTCTCCTTCTTGCACACTAGCCTTAATTAACTGATTAAAGATGGAAATATCTTAAACTACCACCACTGCCTCCTTAATGAGTCTCTCTTACCTCTTGCATTTGACTAGCGTCTTGTACTTCAGACAATCTCAGATGTTATGAATGATGCACAAATATTTATGTTCAAATAGGGTGCAGTCTATATGTAAATTCATTCTAAAAGGTAGTGCACAAATTCAGGGATGGAGAAGCACAGTGAATTGGTAATATAAGAGGTATCAAGTTATTGTACATATGTTTACACTGCTTTGCAGAGTTTTCAAGAGAGGAATAGGAGTTCAGGTTAAATATGCAACATGGGGATTAAATCTGCAAAACAATCTGTGTAGTACCATTGTCTTTCACATATATTTTTTCAAATATCCTTGTGTTTGGAAAACTAGTTGAAGACTCAGAAGGAAAAACTTGAAAGCAAAGAGCTGCACATGAACCTTCTGCGGCAGAAAATAACCCAGCTGGAAGAAGAGAAGCAAGTAAGAACCACCTTAGCTGCGGAGAGGGATGAGGCCAATCTCACTATCAGAAAGTTACATAAGATGATAGAGAGGTTACAGAAGCAGCTTGATCTGGCAAGGGAAATGAATACTGATCTCAAAGCCAAGCTGTCTGAAACCAATGAACTTAAGGTGAGTTAAAAGGTTACATTTGTGCTTTTATCCATTTTTCTGTTCTAGTTGGATACAGCTGGAGTTCATTTACAATAAATGTGTACATGGAGAACTGCTCAAATCCATCTAGGTGGGGAAAGCAAATATAATATTACAGTGTTTTGGGTATTTTGCAACTTGTCTTGATATACTAAATAGCATCTGTAAAGCACGATGTAAATTTTCAGGCTAGTGTAAGAAAAATCCAATAAATGCATCCCTTTCTTTCCTGTTGATGTGGATGTAATCTTATATTTTCCCATACATTGTTCACAGACCATCTACTCTTATAGGTCTGGGGGGAAAAAAAGGGGGTTTTCCGCATAAACCAGGCAAGATGCTAAATTTTTATTGTTCCTGTGTTTTATTACATTGCAGCAGTAATAAATTACCCACTTTAACTCAGGTGAAAACAAGTAGTTTGCAGTCACAGATAGCTTGCCACCGCTGGAAGAAAGGAAGATTGTGAGTTTTTGTCTTGTGGCTGATGGAGTGAAATAACTAAGTAGGTGCATGTTCCAACTGAAGGATTTTTACCAGCAAAACATTTGGCAACTCTTTTTCATACTGTTTTTCCAGGGACTAGCAGAGAGCGAAATCTCACTGTGGGTTTTTGTCTGTCTGGTTACCTCTTTTCACAAAACCTGCAGAGAATTAACTGTCTTGGAAACAAAAATCTTTTTGTTAATTGAGTTGAAATTGGCCAGCCTCCTTTAATAACTTTTCAGTTCACCAGTACATGTGGTTTCATCAAGAACCCATAAGAAACCACATTAAAGTGCTTACTCATGATTACCCCTGATTATTATTTGTTTGTGTTAGATGAAAAAGTGTGACAAATTTAACATTACTTTATGTTATTGCAGATCAAAACTTTGGAGCAGAACAGAACAATAGAAGAACTCAATAAGTCTCAAGGCAAACTGGAAAGAATGAAAGAAAAGGCTGAGAAACAACTTACCTCTGTCAAATCAGAACTACTTTTAAAGGAGCGTAAAGCTACTGAAGATAAAGAAAAAAACAAAAATATGTTAGAAGCAGTTACCAGTGAGATGAAGGTGCTTAAAACAACCCTTGAAGAATTAGCAAAAAGAGAGAGACAGGTAGGTGTACAGGTATTTGACAAGTGCTGGCTGTCACTTAGAATGTAGAATGTGGTATAGGTGGACCAGCTATCCAGCTGTGCTGAAAACTTTTGTAAACATTATTAAACAAGGAAATTTTAGCTCACACTTGTGAGCCAGAGTGGCAGTTGTGATTCTGAGAGGCAAAGCTATTCTTCAAGCTATATATGCAACAGAATGAATAATAAATACAGGCATTTTCTTAGTTCACTGTAAAATATTATATCATCTTTTGGAGAAGTATAAAAATGCTTTAAAATCCTAGTATCTTTTTAAGGTATGTTTTTTCCATGTATCTTAGATATAAAACCTATGTGCATGTTACCATGTATAGGCTATAAATTCAAAGAAAGTTGGAAAAGATCAGAAAATTAAAAGAACACACAAAACAAATCAGACTTAATATTGAATGCAACTATTTTGGATTGATTTGTGACATATAACTTTGTTGAAATTTAGGTAAGAAAATTTTTGTGGTAACTCACTTTGGGGCGCGTATAAGGAGTTTGTGGGAAACACATTAGTAAATGTATTCCATTCTAATTTCAAAAAATTGTGAAGTATGTACGTAATTGCCCTGCATATTGTGTTTTGTAGCAACATTATAGATGGCATAATCGTTGAAAGCCAATGGGATACTTCCTTAAAGTAAAAAATGTGTAATTTTAAATTCCTTATTCCAACTGCTTAGAAATTTCTTAGTTTTTCCAGCTAAAAATGTTATGGTATGTGTTGGCTTTAGCAATGACTCTGGATTAAATTTAAGAATGCTGTTTCAAAAAATGAGTCTAGAAAAGTATTGTTTTGCTCACATGGAGAAAAAAACAACAACCTGGGGATCTTTCTTCCTGGAAAACTTTAGCACAGTTTTCTTTTATAACGAAGGTTAGAAATTTGGCAGGAAAATTTAATTTCTTCATTTGTCTCATGAGGAAAAGCATCCTGCACACAGAAGAAGGTATGAGTGATATTCAGGAAATTATTCTATGGAGTCATACATTGAGTACTTGCCAAAAACACACAAATGTTGAGTTTTTACTGACTGAACCCAAGGCGTTTCAAGCCACTTGAATACTGTTGCAGTGTTCTTTGGCCAAATTTGAAGAACATGGGAAAAGTGAGGTAAATGGGCTACAATGCAGAATGCTCGAGCACAGCATAGCACTAGTTCTCAAGCTTCTCACCAGCATCCACAATCATCTGCATGACAAGAACATTTCAAATACCTGCAGGTGGAACTATACTGCTAAACTGGGAGCACAGCTGTTTGCAAAACCAATGCCTAGTACTTGTGCAGTGCTGATTAGCAGTAATGGCATTTTAAGAATATGAGAATTGCCAGTAATATTCATAGCATACTGTCCTGTATCTTAACAGTTTACTGAGCTAAAATCTGTTCTTAAATTAAAGCTACTATTGCTAAATCAGAGAATTTGTTCCAAACTCTCTCACTAATTAATATGTGAGTTTTTTTCCTGACTTCTCCTGAACCATTACCCCAGGAGAATTCCTTCTTTATCCCCAACCCTGTGTAGTTCTTCACCCGCTTTGGACTCACTTGTTCTTCCTTCTTGGGGAAGCTAAACAAGACCAGACTTCTCTCACTCTGTAAAAGGTAGCAAATGCAGATGTTAAATACTTCTCTGAGCACGTGTGTATATATTTAATCTGAATATAAGCACAGCCATGTCATCTGTGTGTGTATACATGTTAAGAAAACTACTAGAAACTGAAATTGCCATTACCTGATGGAGTTTTTGATGTGGCCGGGTTAACCACTTGTACATGCATTTGCATGTTTTTTTCAGGTATATTCTGCTTTCCATGGATATCACTATGTGTAATGTTAAATAACATTGTAATATTGCATGGCTATTTTCCATGCTGTCAAAATTAAAGGTATGCAGAATTGAACTACTGCCGACTGGTTAAGACATTGATTTGTCTTGTGAACATAAAGAAAAGCAGAACATACCCAAGTGAAGTCAGAAATTAAGATCAGATTGAAATAATTTAAAATTAACTCATAATTGAGATTTAACACAGTGTTTCTGGTTGTTCGTTGCTCTTCAGACTAGAGTAATTCCTGCTACGTTAAAGAGGAAAAATTAGCTTTGACATTTCCGTGGTTTGTTCCTTTTTTTTTTTTTTTTTTTTTTAAGAGAATGCACAGAATCAAAGCATCCAAATTGTTAGAAGTGAATCCTTGTAAGAAGGGTGTAATAACACTGCCAATCTGCTTTAGGATTAACAGTCAGCTCTGGTGACTGTAGTGAATAGCAGCAAAGTGTGCATATTCTTGGGTAGACATATAAAACCATTAAAAAAGAAGGTGTTCAAAGCATTATTAAATCATACTGCAGAGTAAAAACCAGAGCGGTGAAGCTATATATGAAGAGTCAGAAAAGTACAGATTACTAGAATGGATATATAGTGGGGAATTAGTTGGATATATTGAAATTTTACAAGAGCAAGTTTACAGATATCTGTACTGGATTTCCTCTGTCTGTGGGGTGAACAGAAAAAGTTTCTGACTTCATATATTATTATTGCATATTTCTGCATATAAATAAATGTCAGCATAGCCAACATTCGTTCTAATAAGACTAGATAAAGGGTGTGCATAATGACTGATGACAAAAGGATGTTCACAGGGACTGAGAACCTCAGTATGTAACCACTGCAGTCAACTACAGATTAAAATCTGAATATATTTTATTTCTATATCTATGTAATGCAAGTCCTTATTTGCAGTAGTACTTGGAGTAAGAGTATAAATGTCAATGTTTTGGCTGAATTTTTTATGGTTTTGTTATAAGGATTTTTTCCAGTCTTAACTTCCATGGTTTTTTTCCTTTCTATTGGAACAAGACCTGTTATATTTTCCTGTAGGTACAGGGTGAAAACAAAATGTAGTGTCTGTTTTTCACTTCTGCTCCCCCCCTCCTAATATCTTGGGTTAAAGCTCTAAATTGCATTCATTTCCTCTCTTTTACTTCAGGTAATTTTACTCACTGGATGGAAGGTGCAAAGAAAATTTATCATGAGTGTTTACTGCTGTAGCAAACCTTTAGTTTTGAGTCTTTAATGATGTTTGTCTTTTATTATTTCTCTCCTGTACTTCAAATTGTGACTATCTTAGAAATATTAACTGCTACTGAAGAAAACCTTAAATAGTTAGGTGGTACTTCCATTAGCTTGTAGTATTTCAGCAGAACTGTTGTGTTCTTAATACCTCTGTTGCATTGTTTTTAAAGCTGAAATACATTTCTGATCTAATTTTTTTTTCTAGGTCTTACATGTTTTAGTGCAAGATTTTAAAAAGTTGTTCATGAAGCGCTGTATCCGCTTAAGAGTGTAAACACGCATCTTATCCACACAAGACGTGCAATAGCGTTCTAAAGATTGTCCAGCGTGCACCATCTGTTGCTTTTGTTTGGAGTTTTTAAAATTCAGATTGATGTCCCCTGGTGGGGCATTTTTGCATCCAAGAGTGATGGTTCTCTTTGTCAGTTTACGTGGAGAATTTCTCTTTGTAGTCAACCCTTCTTCTGCATTTTCACTGAACTACAGCTTTGTCTGCGTTGTATTTTATATGCCACAATATAATAGTCAGAAAAGTTGCTTTTTGTCTAAGTGGTATTCCATTAAAGTGGAAAAAAATCCTCAATTTAAAATGCACATAAATTAATGGCTTAAAGGATTTCTTTAAGGGCTTTGTGTGCTTTCCAGTTTAGGTTATTTGCTGATGGAAGTTGAATTCTTAACGTATTTATTGTCCATTCAGTACATCTATGATCAGAAATAAAGAGTGAGATGATTGTGTATTTGTTTTAATTTGTATTTATTCCCTCTGGCAAAATTCTGCCAGATCAATAACCTGTGTCAGTGCAGCAAATTTAATTTGATCGCATTTGATACATGGTTGTAGTGCAATTTGGGTTACTCACAGTTGCCATAATTAAGTTGAACACCTTGCGATAGCAAAGATATGAGAGCAAGAAATCTGGTGCATCCAAAGACTGGATCTTTGCAAAGGGCTGCCTTGATATTTTAACACAAAGTCTGTATGGAAACAAATTCCAGCTCTGCTGCCTGCTCATTCTGTCTGTGATCCAGATGTTTTAAAAAAATCTTTAGTTTCTGCTAAATTGTACTTGCCTAGCACACTGCCAAAGCCCCACATCAGTGACCTCCCAACTTGGCGTTGAAGAGAATATATGAGAACTTGGGGGTTTTTGGTGTTACAGTGTTTTATCCAAGACATTGCACTGCTTTGGTAAGACAGATAGCTGGGACTGAATTCTCAAATCCTTCTGCCCTATACTGTCTTGGTTTCCATATTTGTTTTTCTGAACTATGGCAGCTCCTTAGGGTTTGTACTGGGATGAAACAAACTGTCTTTGACAAAGTCTTGGAACTGATACCTTGTTTTCAGGGTTTTTGCAGCTTGCCTCACAGATGTTATAACTGCTTTAGAGTTCTGCACAGTATTCTTGGGGATGGGCACGTATTTCAGGAGTGCTTTTATCTCCTCCTTACCATTAGCCATCAGCGTGATTGGTGGAGTGAGGGTGCTGCCACACCAGAACGCGAGTCTGGCTTCTTGACGGTTTTGATGTTTCGGTGACATTTTGAGTCTCTGTCATGCTTGGGCATGGGGACCTCAACATTCAAATAGATAGCAAGACAACAATATTTCCTCAAATAGGAACATTTTCCTCTTTTAATTGTGTGTTGATGATAAGGGGTATTAAGGCATTGGTCATTTGGGCTGTGTAATGCATTGTCCATTGAAGAGGCATTGAAGTTTGACTTATAATGATCCATACTGTGAGTTGAGAAGAGTAAATCAGCATTCATGTTCATCTGATCTTAAGTTTTTAATCTGGTTGCTGGTGGGGTCACTAGTGATGACAATTACTTGTGGATGTCTGTCCATGTGGAACTGCAGAGAGAAAGCTGGTTTCTTTAATTACTTTGCCAAATACCCTTCCTGTGATATATTTTCAGCAGCTATGCCCAGAAAAAAAATGAGCATTTCCCAGTCTGCAACTTGAATTTTGGCTGCATCCTGATTCCAAGTCAAAGTCAGACGGAAGGATGTCCCAAACCTCCACCTTTCTTCCAACTTCCTCCTTTTGCTGTGGTTTCCACAAGAAAGTGCAGGGTGGGGGGGAGCAGTGGCAGGCAGTGGTCAGGAGCTTGAGGTCAGGACCACCACCTTAGCCTGTGCTGTGGGATGCGCCCGCCAGAGTTGCCAGTTGTTTGTATAGTGTGCAGTCATCTAGGTCAAGTACGTCCCCTCTTCCTGTCCTTTCCTCAGTTTTGGCTGTTGAGTCAGCCAGGAAGGTATGCCTGTGAAGGATACTGAAGAACACTTGAAACTGTGTTTTGTGTTCAAGATACTTAGCACCTCAGCTGTTTACTTGTTTTGTTGTTTGAGGTATGCCCCAAAAGGCTGTGTCCATCCTTTTCAGCTCTTTGTTGTATTGAGCAACAGCAGAAATTCCTGTATTTGGCACTGCTAATACAAATGATTGTGTTTGTATGTATGCATATATGTATATGTTTTTCCAGGCATCTCCTTTGCTTGGTATTTAATTTATTCATAATTCCTTTCTGTTTGCTCTTGCAGCTGGCAGACTTCCGAGAGGTGGTCTCACGGATGCTGGGCCTCAACATTGCCAGCCTGGCTCTTCCTGACTATGAAATCATTACACATCTTGAAAGGTTGATTCACTCCCATCAGCACCACTACTTCCCCTGTGTCTGCCTCAAAGATGTGGCAAAGGCACCAGAGGAACACTCGCAAAGAAACATACAGCTTCTTCACTGAAACACACGTTTTATAAGGAGACAGAACAAAGTAAAATTTTCTCTTGTGCTTCCCTACCTGCTAGACATGCATAGAAAGCAGATACTTATTTCTGTTCCCCACTCTACAGATACTGACTTGGGCTGATTTTTAGTGTTTCAGCAGGGAGACTGAACTGAATGGGTAGAGTAAAGTCAGCAGCCTAGAGACAGCAAACAGAAAATCCGTGGGCAGCATAATACTTCACTTATGAAAAAGATAGGCAATACGTGAACAATGTATAGCCCTCCGGTTTCATCGCAGAGGCATTGAAGGCATGGGCCACCCGAGATCAGTTCACAGTTTTGGGAAGAACTTGGCAATGAATGTCAACTTCAGTGACATTCCCTGTGCTTTACCTCTGGGTGACAGGGGTGAAATAAAGTGGGGGTTGTCCTGCTGCTATTCCTCTTGCAAAATGGGACCCCTCTCTGCATTTTTACACATAAAGGTTCTTTAGCTTCAAGACAGTTATCTGGAAGTTAGACAGAGGACTATCACAATTTTGGAACAAGGGATTTTTTCCTTCTGTTGTTTTCCATAGTCTGCTCTTGTGCCAAAACAAAAAGTTATGCTTTTTCAGCAGAGGTTCTTTCACAGGGTCCGGTCATGTGCCTGGTGTAGGTATATTTGGTAAAATTGCATGTTGCCCTTGATCGTGATGCCTTGAAAGTTTGTCTTCTAGCTGCTGTATTCTTTGGGCAATTAATCCATAGGCCAAATAAGTGGCAGTTCTTCTGAGTTAATAAAAAGTTATTTTAAAATGCTCATCCACTACAGAAAATAATTGAATTACTAAAGTATTTATTTTCAGCAAAGCAATGATGACGTGTCCAGAAAGCTGCTTGTCTATCACCCTTTCTGAGTGTTGTTAAAATTAATTACTTTTTTAAAGAAATTTGAACAATAAATCTGTTTTAATAGCACACTCAAACATGATTCTCTGTTTTTAGTTCTCTTCCCATTATATATTGTATATGGATATGTAGAACAGTAAAGAAGACTTACCTATTTGTGTCTGACCATTGTGGACTTTCTACAGTACCTCAGCAAATGACAACCCACTCACTAAAACTGAGCACACTATTTTAAGAAAAATGAGACTTTTTCAAGTAAGTGTGGTAATTTTGGTATCTGGCTAGGGACTCAAAGCCTTGTAGGTTGCTTGTATTTCACTTGCCTCTGAAAAATCATTTCTCAGTGACTTGCTAGTAAAAAACCAGAAAACACCCAAGCTTTTGCAAAATGAGTCATTGGAGGAGATATGGTAAATCATGCATTCTTATGCTCCTGTGGCTACCTGGATTAGAATCAGTTGCCTTTCTTGTTTTATAGTGTAACATTGTTTTTCAGGGAAAGTTTAATAAATGGAATAAAGGAAAAAGTTAATATTAAATTATATAGACTTAAACTTAGGAAAGCACCACAATTTCAAAGTAAGATAAAAGATTGAAATGTAAATATTTTTAGGCATGATATGTTGGTTGGGAATTTAGAGGGTGGAAAAGGATGTAATAATGTTCTAATTTTTCATGAGAAAATCATTTCAGCTTGAGTTTTGCTGATTCTATAGGCACTTCTCTTCTGCTTGAGTTATTACTAAACAACAAAACCTGTTTTCTTCATCCACATTAATAAATACATTAAATGAAAGCATATTTTACCATATTTTTGCAAGTTAAATAAACTGCATTATGAGATTAGGTCCACTCAGCCCAGATAATACACTCATAACTTTAAGAAATAGTCTCTGAGAGTGCCAGTCATAAAGTAAGTATGCATATTTGGCCATATTTTATGGTTGTGAGATGATTTCCTAATGTCTGCCAGGAGACCTAAAATCTTCTGCTATGCTCAGCAGTCCTGTATCTTGCCACCCTGTGAGCAGCCGTGGCACCAGCAGTGAAGTTCCCGCCCCACAGAAGCCACCAGCAAAGTTCTCCAAATACTCCAGAGGAGGCAGGTCTTCACATGAAGTTGGTAGCACAGCTTGATTACTGTCTTGCGTGCTAAGCCAACAGAAAGTATAATAAAGGTTTTCTAATGCCTCTTTTTTTTTTTTTTTTTTTTTT